ATGCAAAATTTTATGGAGACTGGACCAAAACTGACACTGTAATAGTTAGGGGTGGGGGAAAAAATTGATACAGCATAGTATCGTGATATTTTCCACGGCAATACTGTATCGATACACGGACACCAAGTATCAATCTTTTATTATACTATTTGGTAGAATAACAAAATCAATTTCTTTGCAGTCCACTAGATGGTGGTGTTGAGTTTTTTTCTAAAATCCTTTAATGCACGGCAAGCCGTTGATTATCCCGCTTATTCCATGGTCATTTGCCAGTATTGACAACTTAAAGCTGTTTATGATGTTAGCAGCGCAATATTTAACCGGAAGGGTAAAAATGATGGCTATTTTCGTCAGTTACGGCTTGTTAGCTCTAGTTTTCAGCCAGCTTCAAATCAGATACAGAGATGAAATTGCGGTAAGACCACATTTATTTAATGAATTATCGATTGAGAGAGAGATGACAGTTGTGTGTGTGAATTACCTGCGTCTGTGTGTCTCTCTCTACAAACTATGAAGCTGTTTAGTTACTTAAATTTTACCTCGTTGCTGAGGAAGATAATGAAGTGATCTAGTATCTATGTTATTTTATTAATAAAAGTCGCGGGGCAGCACTGACTAAGTTTCTGTTTGTGCGCTGTGTGATCTGCAATCTCCGACCTCTCCCTCTCACTGTGTGTGTGTGCATCAATTAAAGCAGCGCATTAATATAGAATGGTGATTTAAACTGGCTTGGAACTACATGGAATGAATGAAAGTAAAATACTAAGAGCACAGCAGTTATAGTATACCTGTTGTAGCACATTGTTTACTTTAAGAGTACATGTTATGTTTAATGGGGTCATATGATGCTATTTCAAGTTTTCCTTTCTCTTTGGAGTGTTACAAGCTGATTGTGCATAGATAAGATCCCTGAAGTTGCAAAGACTAAAGTCACAAACCCAAAGAGATATTCTTTATCAAAGTTAAGACTCTGCCACGCCCCCCTAAAACGGCTCGTTCTAGCACGCCCCCACATATCTAGGTCACTATGTGGGAATATTTGCATAATGCGCCCAAATATGCACGCAAAGAAAGAAGGCGTGGTTTCAGTAACCGCAGTTAGTGTTGAAGCAGCATGTCAGAGAGACGCTGTGTGTTTCTAGGCGAAAGCAAAAGCACTTTATTTGGCCTTCCGAAAGTAGATGCATTTAGGAATCTTTAAGATTACTTACAACAGAACAGC